AAAAAAAAAAAAAAAAAAAAAAAACGGTTTTAGAAGTGTGCCTCTTTCTAACGCGCCGCAGAATAGAAGGCGTTTGTGTGTTTTGCAAAAAAGGAAAAAAAAAAAAAAAAAGTGTGCCTCTAGCAGCTCCATGCGTTATGTTGGTTCCACAAGCTTCCAGGTATACAAGAGCAATTGTGAAAATTTCAGAGAAAGGCGAAAGAAAGAAGGAAAGAAAAGAATGAACTGCACACGAAACAGCAAAATGAAGAGGTTTTAGTGTGCGTCATGCCGTCTGCTCTTTTCTTCATTTGTTTCATAAAGTGTGCTTTTTCAGTTCATACTGCCTCATAGAGATCATAGGTGGTTGACAAATGTATTATAAATTGTAGTCCTTTTTTTCTTCTTTTCACTTTAGTTTCTCGTTTTAACCATCTGTTTTTTTTAAGCTTTTCGTCTTGTTATGCGTCTTCTGATTTCTCTATCTCTATTCGTAGCGTTTTTAACTTTCTACACATTCGGATATATGATGTGTGACAGTTGTGTACACTTGTCTCTATGTCTGCTGCAGGGTGTAGGATCAACTGACCCTTAGCCAGAATCAGGGCGTAGTTGCGCTACTCGCCGTCCGCCAACGTTTTGAATGCCTCTGGACTGAAATTTGTCCATATGCATTCAAAATGTTGGCAGATGGCGGGTAGTGCATCTAGCTGGATTCTCGTTGGTGGTTTGGTGGGGGTGACCGTAATCCGCCGTTGCCACCAACCTCTACTGTCAATTTGATTTTAAACCCCACCATCTATCTAGCCCCGTGGCGGGTAGTGCATCTATCCCCTCAATCTGAAAACTCAAATTGAATAGTGCTGCAAAGGTTTTCCTACCCTGATAGATGTTTCTTTTCTTTTCTTTTCTCTCTTTTTTTTTTTTTTTTTTTTTTTTCAAGGTCCAGGGTGTAGTGGACGGTGGTGGCCAGGCCTCAGGAGGTGCCCGTCGCACTCATCCATTGGGAGGTCAGATGGATTGCGAGGACCCAGGGGGGGGGTCACCTGAAGATGGCTCCGTGATACCATGACCTATGCGAATGCTCAGATCATGCAAGTCGTGATCTGCGCGAACGCTTACCGGACCAGCCCGAACGTCTTCAGGCAGACGCTACCCTAACTCTTAATGTTAAGGACGACCTGGGCACAGGTGGGGTCCATGCATATGCAGCCATCCCCCATCTGTGCCTCAACCCGCAGGCTCTATGGGCAGCGAACCACCCTTCCACTAAGATGCGATATCCCACCCTCCCCTTTTCGTAAGCATGATGCCTTCCTAGCCCAGGCTCCCCAAGAATCCACAGTCCCGACTAATTCCCCCAATGAGAATTCCCACAGATCCCAACCTGGATGAAGCACCACCCGCGGGCATAGTGGTATACCTGCGAAATGAGAAGTACCCAGTACCTACGCCATACTGACACCCAGTGTGTGCGTATGATTGTGCCCCGTGAGATGGGCCCTACCGTAGTCTAAGTTCGCTCTGTGTGGACTCTCATATTGGTGCCATAGTGACGGGAAACATGCTAGGTGTACCCAGACTCTACCATGGCACCCCCACGGACTAGTACATACTACCGAGACTGACAGATAGGAGGGTCCAAGTCGCCACGCAGAGGTATCGACGGTTTCAATGGTTTTGGCAGTTTTTTGGTTACAATGGTCTAGGCAGTAAACCCTTTCCCTTTAATCTACCCTAACTCCCCTCCCTTCCCCTTCCCCCCCCTCCCTTCCCGGGCCCATGGTGGGGCCAAGATAAGACCCTGATCCTCAGACCCCCTAAGACCAAGCACTTAAGCAGCCCTCCCTATGGACCTATCCAGCATACCACAACCGTGGACCTAGACCCCTTGGGCGGTGCACAGGAGCCTGATAGATGTTTCAAAAAGTCCTATGGCTCTTTTTTAAAGTTTTTTTAGTTTGACTGATGGATTTGAGCATTAGAAAGTTGTCACGTCAGACTCTTAGGGGGTACCCGCACTAGGACTTTTTACTTGTTTCTGGACGTATATTGCAGTCAGATTCATCCATGTCTAGCTGTAAACAGGGTGAGATATAATGAAGATAGCGGTACTGTGAATACCATGGTAACCGCGGACCCAGACACCGGACACTTCCGGACTGTCTTCCGGACCAGTGTCTGGACCGGTCCGGACTGTCCGATGATCCGGACACCACCGGACACCCGGACATCACCGGACCCGGACAGTCCGGACCGGTGTCAGTGGGTACAAATGTCTGGAACGAAAAAAAAAAAAAAAAAAACCGGGGGAGTGGGTGGGTGGCTGGGGTGTTGGCAGGCACTCCCCTGCTTTGCACTTTGTAGTTCAGGCAGCAGAGCACCTGTCTTGCAGCTAATCAACGAGCACGTTCAACTAGCAGACATTCAGAGTTGCCAACAATGCAAAGCAGGCTCAAGACTGAAGGGGGAATTAAAAAAAGCATGATTAACTTTGAAGTTTGAACTTTGAATTAAGTAATTTAAGTTCATAACTTCATAATAGTTCATATACGTTAAAAGTTAAAAGTTCGAACTTTGCAGTTCAATTCAGAACGTCAGAGTCTTCAGACCGGCAGCACTGTCAGTGCTCTCTCTCTCTCTCTCTCTCTCTCTCTCTCTCTCTCTCTCTCTCTCTCTCTC